TTTTTTGTGTGATCCTTTTAAGGCCCGTAAAAGCCCATTAAGAGACCCGTTTTTTAATATCGACATCACCGGTAAGAGCTCTACCAGTGAGAGACAAAACGGTTACTTAATGGAACCGACTATTAGAAACGACCACTCTTGAATGAATCGAACATCATCACGAGCAATCACTATGATACACAACCATCGGTGTGTTCTGAAGAAACCAAGATAAACAGTATCACGAACCGTCAATGTGATCCTCCACCACTGGTGTTGCTTAAAATGTCGATGTAACCATGATAGTTCAATCCAAACATGATCTTGTCACCATGTGGAAAGCACGCACATCCTTTCCACCGATAAATCGAACATCAGCAACATCACAAACCCCATCTCGTTGCATATGTGGCCACTTAAGACTATACGTAACCAATCCAATCTCAATGATGGAGTCGTTATAGGCAAAACAAAGGCACGAGAAACAACGCAGTCCAAACCATGGGATGGATCGGCATCGGCATTGGGTTGAGTTTCGAGATCAGAATGGCTAGTCCATAACCAATGATGATCACACCGATTTTGAAATACTTCAGATCCCACCACATCAACAATTTCTTCATCTTGTTACAATTGTACTCCTTCGTCTCATGAACTTCATGAAAACGAGACCGAATTCAACAACCGAAAGCTTTTATAAATAAAACTAAACCTATAACAGAAACTTATTCATCAACAAATCTCTGTTTTAGCAAGGAAAAAACAGAGACCTAACACATAAACATAGACTCCTAGAATCATCGCAGCAAAATTCCATCCTAAAAAAAACAAATTTGGGATCAAAGAGGAACCCGAGAAGAATCTCCAAAGAGATCGCTTTCGAGAGGAATCGCCGATTCATGATGATTTATTTGAATAAAACTTAAAAACTATGAAGAAGAAAGAGTACGGCCGGAGGAGATCCGAGGAAGACGGTTGTTTGGTTGTGGTCTGTAAAAAATCGCTTGGGAAGAGACCATTTCACGTCACCCATTAGAACATCGAAACTGTGTTCTGTAGTAAGAAGTGAACTGATCATTATACTAGGAATCCAAGATATTGTTTTGATTTTATGAGCTGAAA